GGTGTGGCGTGCCGCCGCTGGTCGGTAACGGGGTCAAAGCAAGGCTGAGAAAACCCAGTTTGGTGTGGCTATGCGTCGTTCTGAATGCGCACCTCAAAGTCCCGGCGGAGAAACAAGTGACAACCGGAGTCTTCCTCCGGGGCTCCGTACTCGGGCGCGCTCCCGACGCGGTCTGGCGGAGCGCTCCCAGCCGGCGCGGCGGAGTTCGGGAGCGAAACGCGGCTTTGGACGTGTAAATGAAAACTTCAGAAACAGGCCTGAGGGACAAATGGAAGGGTGCGTACTCATCCACTGCAGCATCTCTAGTTTTCATGCTGGCTTCGCATCCCTGTTGATGCGTGTCATCGCTTGTCACCCTGGCCATTTCCCTTAGGTGTTTGACGCTTCCCGGCTTGTTTTCTTGGTACCTGTGAGTTTTCTGGCACTTCCGCTTCTTCAGGGTTATGACGTGTCCAGGCGTCTGTGCCTAGTTTGCCTTAAGCTTGCACTGATGCCCAAACCTTTGAATAAAAACTTATTTCCTGGGTGAACCCTTTAGCACGCTCTTCAGGGATGATCAAGGTTGTTTGTCAGCTGCTAGGTTTTGAGGCTAAATGCTGCTTGGGGGAGTATGGAGCCAGTCAACTTTTATATCAGAATGTCTGGCACGGCCCTCTTTGGAGCTGAAGGTTCTGCAGCTCCTTGCATTTGGAGGGGTTTTTGTGAGTGTGACTTATTACCTACCTGGTATTGAGCTTCAGGTTGCTGGATTCAATATCTAAAGTATCTGAGAGCTGTCTGATGGTTTCCAAATATTGAGAATCTCCATACAGAAAACTCTGGTTTTACTTGCTTGAGTTGTTGTGAATTCCTATTCTCCTGCAGTGGGCAATGAAGCTTAACACGTTAACTGTTCTTTAAGGTATTAATCTCTTCCTGTAGTAAAAGCTCCTGTTAAATTCACAGTAACTCAACTGTGTGTTTTTATGCCCTAGAAAAAGGTGAGGCCTCTGAATCGGGGTTATTGCTCCATCAAGACGTTGCTAGTGCTGCCAAGTCTGTTGCTTAGGCTCACAGTCTTAACACTGCTCCATCAGTGATTATGTGACCTTGTGGAGCAGAGAATCCTTCAATGCTGAATATGCACTAGTTAATGAGCATCTTTGCTCATTAACTTTCCTCGGCAGGTGTTAATGTGACTTTGTCAGAGATCTCTGCCTCCAAGACCAATACTTACACTAGTAATAGGCTTATTTTATTTAAAGGATACTTTGCTGTAGTTAGCACAGAAGGCAAAGGAGCCTGTTCAATGATCAACAGAGCCTCAAGTTTTGACAAAAATGTTCTTGAATAAGAACTGGCTTTTATCAGTAACCTACCAAGAGTGAGGAAGTAGGTGAAAGAGCACCCTTTACCTCGTACTTGTCTATGGGTATCTTAAGCATAGAGGTTTTGAATACCTTTTTGAATGTGGTAATACATGGTTACCTGTGGAGTATCTTTGACTATTTTCTGCTACGTTGAGAAACCCAGTTTCTCACATAGACATCAGGCATGTGCACCTTGTTTTAATTTCCTGCTAATTTAAAATAGAGAAAAAACTGCTGGCTTATAGTAGCTTTTGTGAAAGTGAATTAGCATTGATCTTAAGAATAGTTATTTGCTCTGAAAAATGCTGCACTTTCTTCTTTAAAGGAAGTGGTTATCCTGGATTTTGTGAGCACTGTATGTTTATATCTTGGGCTTGTTGTGACGTAAGGACTGTAAAGATATAGTGCTCAGGGTGCTAAACCAGGGCAGAGAGTTGAGACTTGGTCCTGTCTGTGTGCTTCTCCTTTGGATGTGCTGTCTTAGCAAGCCTGAAGGACAGGGATCGCACTCTGACTTAGGGCAAATACAGTGATGGTGTAGCTGACAAATATAAAGCAAGTGGTGGATTGACGTAAAAGTCGGGGGGGGGGGCAGCTTTTTATTTGGGCCATACAAACTTGATTTGTTATACAAGATTCAACCAGAAAACTTCTGGATACAGTAAAAGATTTAGGGGGCTATCAGCTTAACAGTTGAGAACGAGTAGGCACTTGGGAAGGTCCTCATGTCAGCTCAGTTTGGCATAAAGCTTCTAATGATGGGCTCATTGCTAGAAGAGTGCACCTCTGTTTGGGGAAATAAATAGTATTGATTAAAATTGGTAAGTTGTGAAACTAATGACTAAACTTGTATTAAAAAAAAAAACCAACAAATGTAAAACACTTTGTTTCCAGTCGTAGTGATTTTTTTTTTCCAACTTTTTTTCAGATTTTGGGCATAATTTCATTTCACTGGTGAGAAATTAGTGAAACACCATAAACAAGCATCTAGACCCAACTGAATGGCTGAATCAGATTCTGGTATTATGGTTGAAATGGCAAAATTTAGCCTGTGTTGTACTAGTGTTCATAATCATCACAGAACAGCCCAGGTTGGAAGGAGCCTCAGAGTATTGTCTGGTTCAACCTTTCCTGGGAAAGGCAACCTAGAAGAGATCATCTAGCACCCTGTCCGACTGCATCTTGAAAACCTCTAGTCACAGGGATTCCACCACATCCCTGGGGAGGTTGTTCCAATGAATGATTGTTATCAATATCTTTCTGATACTGAGATGAAACCTCTCCTTGTGCAACTTGCACTTTGTTGCCCCTTTTTCTTCTCCATGTGGTTCCTTGTGAAGAGAGAGCCTCCTTGTCTGTGTAGCTGCCCTTCAAGTACTGGAATACCATGATGTGTCCCCCACTGAGCCTTCTCTTCTCCAGGGAGAAAAGACCTAGCTCCTTCAGTCTTTCCTCGTAGGGCAGGCTCTCCAGCCATTTGATCATCTTCATGGCCCTCCTCTGGATGCCCTCCAGCCTGTTTTATCTAAGTACTGGGGTGTTTTGCTTGTTTGGGTTACAAAAAGTCCTGTTAAAAGTTTCAGGTTTTTTGTTATTGCATTAATTCTTGAGCGTATTAAATCAGAACAAAATAGCTTTTACCTTTAGAAAAACTTGAAGCAAGCAATCTTGCAACATAAAAAGTTCTACAGTAGCCTCAGACTTGTTTCAGTGTTATGTTTTGATGTTAGTGGTAGGTTTACTTGCAAAGTTCTGTAAGTCAACATTTTTTCATTTAGTTCTTCCCTGCCTTTTCCAGAGGAGGTTTTACTTAATTTCTGGAGATGTTTTCAATTTCAAACAAAACTCCTAAGAGGACTTTGCCAGATAATCCAGTACTTAGACCTTTAAAATTCAAACTATTTGTTATGAATTGACACAACCCTAAGTAGACTATTTTTAATTTTTCTTTAAGGAGAAAATGGACTCCTATTTTATAGCCTAGCAAAACCTACACCTTTGACCTTAGTGATGTATTTTTTTCTTTTTTACTGACTGCTGTTTTTTGTTTCTTTTTTTTTAGACTGTATGCTTAGGATTTGGGTAAAGGCTGTTTATAGGTATTACAGCTCTTATAATTTCACCACTTAATGTTAACTCAGTTCATTCTTAGCACAGTGGCCAAACTGCATTTGCCAGCTCTTTATTCAAAAGGCCCAGTTGCAGAGCTTGCATTCTTTACTGGTCCAGGCAAATTAAATTTGTTGATCATGCAGTAATAAGCTCTGTTCTGTTGAGATCTCTAAACCTTTGTTGCTAATACCTCTAAAAGGTTTTCTTCTTTCATGTACATTTGATGACTCGTGTAACATTTAGATGTAGTTCCTGAATACTACGTGTTTGAGTTTTTAGCTATGATTTTAAGTTAATATGGCATGGAGTGCTTCTGAGGAATTTTATCTTATACTGACTGCAGTTTTCTTATTTTTAAGTAATTTATTCCAATATCATTCTTTCAGCTACATAGTCATAAGGATTGTCCAGCAGAAAGCTGCAGTAGGCAATTCTGTAGTTGAGTACTGGTACACATTGAGAACAAAATACTGCAGAATAGTCTAACTCCATGTGTCTGTCTTTGATGTGTTGCATGCAATAGCTGAAGCCTTTTTTGTATTTTGGGATACTGTGGTATTATTCTGCAAATGGTGTAATTAGCCATGCTTTAGTTCACAAAATTAATTGTTTGAAGTTTGGAATTAAAATCACATGGACACACACATGCAAAGGGAAGTAAGTAAAACTGTTTGTGCAGTCTTAAATCTGCTATACTCTGAAAGATAGCAAAATAAGTCACTGAGAATGTGAACTGTGGTGTACTATTTCCAGTTACATAGCTTTATTGTGAAGGAAGAGAATTTGTTCATGTGTAGGTATTTTTGCATTACTGAGATGGTAATGAAGCAGTGTCTTAGCATGTAGCCATAATTAATGACAGATATCCCTGAATTATAGCACAACTTCTCCACTTGCCCTCATTCCAGACCAACCAGAGCAGTCCTGTTTGGATTTTGTGCTTACTTCATCTTCTCTGAACTCCCATTAAATTATTTCTTGAGTCTCAGATTTTTTCATTTAAAGATGAGCTGTTAAGCTGAAAGTAGAGGAAAGAAGTGTCTCTTGGAATGAATGGAGAGAGATTTGAATTTAGGCTCAGTGTTTGTGCTGCTGTTAGCTTTGTTTTAACATCTACAATACAGCTGAAACTTGTTGGAAGTGAAAAGTTTTAGGCAGAGTTGAAATTTCTTATTTTCTGTGTATGTATGTGGGTGCAAAGTCTGTGCTGAAAGAGCTGCAAGAGGGATAAATAACTAAAGGTTGCTGGTACAAGGTTATTTAGCCCAGTAGAAGAAGAGTTGCAGGGCAGTGGCACAAATTACATACTGTAAATGAGCTATGAAATGATGGAGGAAATTCACTATCAGTAAGTGTAAAAAAAAAAAAAAAAAAAATGTATGGGAGAACGTGGATTGAGGTGGAGGGCAGCACTGCAAGCTATACTGCAGTGTGAAAGAATTTTCTAATTCAAACTATTGTAGTTTAGGAAGAAGCTTGGAGTTACTGGGACTGAGTAGAGCAGCATTGCCAGTTGCCATCTAGGAGAGCAGCAGTGTTGGGAATTGCTGAGGTAGCAGTAGCACGGAAAATGGAAAAGGAATTGTTATGCCTTTGAAAGGAATCTCTCCTTCCATGTCTTGAGGTGTCTGCTCTTTTTGTCACCTCAAAGATGTTAAAGCTAGAAGCAGCACACTAGAGTGTCGTGCATGATGAAACTTACAGCATGATTTATGTATTGGGAGAAATTTAAATTTAAGGTTTTTGTTTTGAGAGGAAGTGTCTGAGGATACAAAGGAGTGTATTTAGAACTGCATGTGAGACTCGGAGAAGGCAAAGAATATTTGTGGTTTTCTTATTTTACAGAAATAAAGGGATATAATTTCAGACAGATTTTGTGAAATAAGGAGAAAGAATGCTTTTTCTACAGAGACTATAATTGACCTATGTCACTTCTTGCTGTAGGGTGACATTTACGTATCAAAGCCTGTATCTAGTCAGACAGCAGTCTGGGTAAAGACATGGCAGCTCATCTGTGGATCTGTCCTCCATAAATCGATGCTTGTAGTCTGTGATTCAGAAAATCTCCAAGGATAGATTGCCAGGTGCAAAGTATTTTGCTGTTGCTTTTGTCTTCAAACGTGTTCTAAGATATACAAGTCTCTCATCTGGTGACTATGGTTGCTCTAGTGTTCGTCCTAACTGAGTCAAAACTACACCCCATTTGCCTTTGCTCTGTTCCTGTCTGTGCTGCTTGGGCAAAATAGAAGTAACTTGTCATTTGGTACTTCTTCATCCCAGGCTGCTTCTGTGGAAATACAGTATTGATGGAGTCATCTCACTGGCTTTGAGTGTCGCCTGTTTTGGTGGGATGAGTCAGTTCTCAGGCGTGTGAGAAATCATAAAACACTATGGTGCAGCATTGTCAACCGCATTTTGGGACAGAGTATGAAGTCTTGGTGCTCTTTGCAGCAGTAACCTCCCTCAGCCCGTGAATTGCTGCCATGTTCCCTACGTAAGGGAATGGGGGAAACAGCAGGATTTCTGCTCTAGCTTGTAGGCACTGGTAGCTGTTCCAAGCTGGGCACTTGTGGTGTTTGTCTAAAGTCAATCTGCTGCACAAAAACCCCTTTTTCCCTTAAAACTGAAAAGTAAAAAAACAGAGAACATGCTGTCTCTGTGGGGGCTGGTGAAGAGCCCACAAAACCTAGAAAACTCTCTCTGCCCAAGCAAAAGTTCTACTTGTTTGAGGACAGATAAGGATGGAGAAACTTGGTGAGACCTAGGCAACACTATTGCAAAAGCAAAATGTTTTGGTGTGGTGTTTTAAATCTGTCTGTCAATACACAGATCCTGTGTCTGGGAAACCAGGCAATGCAGGTCTTAAACAGAATTTCTGCTTTCCTGCTTGCAAGTTCTGTTGATACATGCTTATTAAAAACACTTTCCTAGGAGGTCTCACTATCTAAATGCTGCAGTATAACCAAAACTAATACTGATGGTATTATTGTGGGGAAAGTGGCAAGTGCTTAAGTATGTTAGCTCTGTATGATTCAGTTTTAACAGTGGCTTGCAAAACTGGGCTTTTTTCTTTATCAATGCCTAGTCCTAGTACCTGGTAATTTTAGTATTTATAGATGTCTTTCTAATAATAGCTCAGCTGCTTCTGAAAAAAGGCTAGGTCTGTTGGAACAGTTTAAGCATCATATTTCTTTTCCGATTTCTCAGTTTAGAAAGTAAAGTGAGAAGCAACTGAGCCTGCAGACTGGGATACTGCAGTAACCTCTTGGGGAAGTGGTGGTGAGGTGGAGAACGGTGGGCAATGTCTTCAGCTGAATAGAGGTTACAGATCTTACCGTAAGACACAGGGAAACCACCTTAAAGAGAGGGTAATCTTGGTAACTGGGAAAGAGCTGTCTTCAGTTTTCAGCACCGTGTTTGTAAGACCTCAAGTAGATGATCCACAAAACTCCAGAACCCTTTTTGTGGCTTTGAAGAAAACCTACATACCAGTTTACGTCTATGTGAACAAGCAGACAAAATTGGGGTGTACTTGGAGAGGTAGTTGATGAGCATTCAAAGCATAGCCCTATTCTTTTTAAGTGAAAGCTAGCATGGCAGCACTACACAAGATAGCTCATGTTTTGGTTTGTTGGTTTTTTCTTCCCCAAAGGGTAAGTGGCCCTTCAGCTCCTTAAATAAATTTTTATTTAAGGACAGACATATGACAGAGGATTAAAATTGGATAGTTTATGCATCACTGCTGCCAAGCTCGGGTTTAATTTGCCCTTATATGCAGAGATGAAAGTTGTGCTGGTATTTGAACTGGTTCACAAGCAGGCCCACAAGCTTCTGGTCTGAGGGTCTCTCACCATTTTAGAGAGGTGTAGTTGCTGTATACCGTTTCAATCCACTGCTGCATGTTTGTCAAACCAGTTAAAATGTTTTTATGTTGGTAATAAGTGCCAAAAATAATCTTTTTAGTACTTAAAATCCATCTGCAGTAATTACAGACTCCTGTTAGTCGAACTGAAATAGCCTTGCACCGAAATCAGAGTAGAGCTGACTGTTTTATCTAGCACGGTCAGTGCTACTGACATGTAATACACTGACATATCTGGCAAGAAGACTTGTTTTGAAGTACTTCTAAGTGGTACTGGATAACAGAACCAGAGACCATCTTTTTAAAATGAGTTTTGCATCGTCATTTTTAGGGCATTGCTTTACTAGTCCTAAGGAGCTCTTTGAATCTGGAGGTGAAATTGAGGTTAATGCTAAGTACATAGGGAAGGTGGTCTCTGACTACTGCGTTCTTGCCAAGTTATTCTGTTTAGAATAACTGATGTTTCTGATAGCCAGCAAGAGGCTCAAAAATAAATAAAAATGCACTCTTCTATTGCAGTTGCACATTCAGATCCAAACAAAGTAAGTAAAAATTAGGTCAGAAATGAGTAGTCACTTTTTCCACAGCAAGATTCAAATTTGTAATTAACACCTGTATAGTTGGTGGTGTAGTTGAGATGGGTATAGAGCAGACATGTTTTCCAAAAGCATGTACAATTCTGTGTTCTTTATAATTTTGCATTTTATTAAAGCATCCTGATTTGGAAAGTTTCTGAGTCAGCTTTTAAAAGTTGTCCTTTATCCAGAGATTACATTGTAAGTTTGGGGATACAAATATGCTTGCTGCGCTAAGGATTGAGCAACTCTAAATCTCAGTAAGAGAGAATTACTTGAATATATTTTGCTTCTGCACATAAATAAAACTATCTTCTGTGTACAGACACAGCTGTCCTTACTGCGTGACAAAAAGCTTTATTTACCACTCTTCTACCTTATTGACTGAGTGGATAGTTCTTTGGAAGTTTTCTTTTTAAACATTATGTTGCAGACTTCAAGCTTGCCACCTAAGTGTTAATCAGAGTTCTTATGAGCATTTCTATGGAGATATGAATTAATTTGTATCTTAATATTATGACATAGAATAGACTTTTTTCTTTATGTGCTAGCAACAGAGGCATAGTAGCCAGGACTTGTCCACTAACCTGAGTTCAGTAACTTTGCTTAGCATGGCACAGGTGCTCTTTGTGGAAAGAATAGCTCAGTTTTGTTGGTCTGAGAGCAGTTTTTGTGTAGATTCTTGCTTGATTGACTTAAACCAACACTTTTTTCAGTCAAAAGTATAAGTATAGGGGCCTAGCAGACAGAAGGCTTGCTTGCTTCTGGAGAACTTAAGATTAAGTAGAGCACAGAATGTGGGAAAATGGGCAAGGAAGCACCTAATGAACTTTAATCTTACGCTAGATGTATATGGTTTGAGTGGGTAACCTCAGTTTATTCTCTTTTCTAACACACAGCTTCTCTGCATTCACCCTGCCCAGCCTGCTACTCTGACAACGACCAAACAAAACCCCAAAATGCTTAAATACATTTTATCTTGCAATATGTTGACATTCTAGGATCAATTGATAGTGTTGGAGCCTTTGTACTTAACAGTTTGGGTTTCTGCTACTTAAATTCCATGACTTGTAGTGTTGGTGAACGGTCCTGTTCTCCATAGAACAGTAGGACATAACCCCCTTCTGGTTGTTGGATGCCACAGCCATGAGCTTAGAGTAGAGATGGAGGCTCAGACTTATAAATTCAGCTAACTTGGCAGGAGGTGTGTTGTCTCATGATCAACAACTAACACCTGTCTTTGATGGTTCTCTTTCCTCCACCTTCATTGATCCTGCAGCCATTTCGCAATTGATGTCGTGCATTGAAGCTTCTCTGCTTTGTCCTGTAGTACACTAGCAAGATCTTTAAGCGAACATGAGAGAAACAGTTTTTGTTCTCCATTTCTTTGACTTAATGTGAGCAAAATGAGATTTTTCTTTAACTTGTCTTTTCTGGAAATATCTGAACTGTGTCAACATCTGTAGTATTTTTTGACTGAGGCAAGTTCATTAATACAGAAGGGAAGGTAAGTAGATGTCTTTAAAACAGATGGTGTCTGGCAACATCAGCTGTAACTGCTTTTAGTATTTTGGTGGACTTGGGATTGGAGAGGATAAAGCAGAACACTGTAAGGTGTAACCAACTCATTTCAGTCAGTAGTTTGGTAACTGCGATTCAGTTATTAAACTGTTTGTAATCTATAGGCGGGTGTGTGTTTGTGTCTTCAGGCTACAGGCGAGGACCGAAGCAGGGAGAACAGCAAGGCTTTGGTTACAGAGGAGCAGAGGTGAAACAAGACAAAACTGCACGGAGATCATCTTTCAGGGACTACCGTTCCTGTGAAACAGTAAGACAAGCAGAATTCACCATGGAAGGGTATGTATCGCACTGACGGGGGATCTGCACAGGGGTGGGAAGGGAAAGACTTAACCTTCTTAAAATGGATCTAGTAGCCAGACGTGACTTGAAGGCATGGTTGCACTACTAGCGTGGAAACTCATTGCAAGATGATTTAGTTCATTCCCATCAGAGCTCTAATTTTGGTTTCCTGGCAAATTGGTATGGATGGTTTTGTTAAATGTTAGAAATATAAGGCAAAACCGAAAAGTGCAAAGATCTGAAACTGTAACCCCTAGTCAACAACATAAATGTTCATTTCTGAGTTTGTGTACTGAGCTTTGCAGAACATGTGGTGCAGGTTCCAAGTTGAATGAATTTTACTGTTCAAAGTGAAAATAAACCTTTGTAATACAGTTTACTGCTTGGACAGTGAATACATATCAATTTCGCTTTCTTTAAGTACTAGAAAATTCCACCAAAACCTTTAACACTTAAGAGCGTGGCTGTTCTTACTTTACATTACAGTAGTTGGTATTTAACAAGTTCCCTGAAATCTTTAGCAGTTGCATATAAATCTGGGTTTAGACAGTGGACCTATTGCCTGATAAAGTTGCTGAAGATTTGATAGTTTTATAGTGTTTTATTTATCTTCTCTAATGTTTTCAGTGTTATCAAATAAACAGCTGAACTTTCTATTCCTGTTATCTGTAGTAATTCCCCCTGAGTTCAGTTTATGTCCATTTTTAATGACAAAACTAATACCACAGTATTGTGTGCCATGTAAAGATACATTCTAAAAATTGTGCAGTAGCTCTTATGTCTCCCACAGCTGCACAAATACAACTGTAGGAATTTTTTGCTTCTTGTTAACTGTTCTGTAGGAACAAAAATCTGACTAGAAATCTTCTTTTTAGGCCAATTGAAAGATTAAGCTATGAAAGGCCAATAAGAGGTCGTGGAGGAGGAAGACGTGGAATGCGAGGTAGAGGAAGAGGTGCTGGAATAAATAGAAGTTTTGATGGCTTTGACCAAAGAGGAAGATGGGAACTGGAAAGACAAAGTGGGTATGAGACAACGTAAGTGTTCTATGTGCTGCTTCTTACTTTGTGTACAAGTAAACAATACTCAGCACTGCAGTAGTGTCTCAAATATTCTGTTCCCTTCTACAGCCATTTGGCTGGCAAAAAGTCAATACTGGTTTTAGGTTGGGGTCCTAATGAAAAAAAAGCTCTTAAACTCACAGAACCCTGTTTCTCTCTATAGAGGAATGAAAGCAGTTGACAAAAAGGGTGGAAGTGGAGCTCACAACTGGGAAACAGTTAACGATAATACAAGGTACAACATATGCTTGTGCCCACTGTAGGTCATCATTTTTCATGGCCCACCTTAGGTCATCATTTACTGTTGATCAGTTTCATGTCCCTTCTGAGCTTCATAAGCCTTGCTTTCTATTAATTGTTGTGATGAACGTAGTTTTACAGTTTTCTGAACTTGTCTCTCATGTTGGTGAGATTAAATTGTAGCAAAGGTATGGTGACGGTTCCTCAATGAAGAGTGCCATACATCTTTTGACTGGGGCCAGGTTGTCATTTAACTGAAATAAGTTATGACTCTTCTCAATGGTCAAGTAAGGGGGACTCTGATATTTAGTGGCGTTGCTACAAAATGCCAATTAAAAGATTGAAACTCTGTTAGTGGGCTTAAAGTCGAGTCTCTTTTTCTCAAGTTTTATGTAATAACTCTTTAATTGAAGGCTGGTAAAGGACAGAGGAAAAGCCGTGCTTTGAATTTACAGCAAACATCTTTGGCCACATACACATTCATTCACAAAATTGTTTTAAAAACAAAATTTATTTTTAAAACTTAGATCATGGATTCAGACAATCTGGCTAAAAAGTTGAAAAATACAGCCTTGATGGGTAATAATTTGTGGCTTGGTATTCCAAGTTCTTCTGAAAGGTTGTACTAACTTCTATCTCTTCTATAACATTTCATACTAAAAGTAAAAGATTGGTTAGGTACTCTGGCTTTTCAAAACAAAAGATCAGCTAGGTTAACGTAGTTCTGAGATGATAGCACAAAAGTAGCCAACCAGAAGCACAGAAGTAGCTAAGATGTCAGGGAACGCTGTGTGAATATAAAGTACAAGAAATTTAAGATTCCTTACATTTATTCTCCCTAGTCAAGCTTTTAGTTCAGTAGCATCAGAACCTATGACATAAACATGGGATGTCAATGCTTTCTTGTGATGTGCATTTGGTAGATGTGGCATTAAATTAGAGTTGTCTAAACAGTTCTAAAAGCATGTCTGTGCCTTAATTGTGCTCAATGATGCAACAAAGCTAGCAGGTGTTAATTTTAAATATGTATACCTACCAGGGGAATGAAAATAAGTATGCTCCTGCTCTCATTTGACAGTGAACTAATGTCCATGTTACAGAAAATATGAAATTGGAGCATGAATTTGCCTTTTTATTTCAACTACTAAGACGGTAAAACTCAAACATCAGTGATATCCTGTAACCAAGTACTGGTATTAGTATTCATGATTGAATTATTGTCTTCATGCATGCTTTTCACTTGTTTTGATTAAAAGTACATAGCAGTCGGATTTTCATAATATTTCTCACTTTTGTTAGTCGCTCAACTAGTCACTTAGATCTATTTTCTGCTTATTATTCTAGAGCTATTCTCCTCTACTTTTTTCCCCTCTCAAGGAATTCTGGAAAAAGGTTTTTCTGCAATGTGACCCGTGAAGACTGTGTGGTGTTTTCTTTTTTGTTTACTGTTTTAGTGGGATGGAACAGACTGCCACTGTGGAAGAGACTGCAGGAACAGCTGAGCTGCCAGGGGCATCTGAAGGAGAGTCTCTTAACAAGTACAGTCTGACTAAAATATTTTCTTTCTAAATGCAAAAAAATCCAATTGACTGTTACTGATATACTTGTATTGGGAGGCACACATGAAATGTGAACGGTGAAGTTTTGCTAGTGCACATCTTTAAAAATAGAAAAGCTTTGTCTATATTTGTGAGTCAAGAAAATGCATCCCTAATTCTGACTAAAGCTTGGCTTATACAGCTGCAGATTACATTTAATTGCCCAGTGATGCTTATGTTTCTAAGATTTGCTAATAATTTGAGGAGCTACATACTGTCTGTTACCTTTTTGACTTGGCTAATCTGTGAAAACTATAAGAAAAAGGTATTCAAGATGCCTGTGCAGTTGTACAAACACTTCAAATAGATGAAGATAAAATTCTCTTAAGTCAGTTTTCATCAGTCACTAATGCTGTGCAGTTGTCATCTATTCATGGAGGGCCTCTGTAGAACTGGAAAAACTGGCTGGAAATGGTCTTGCAGCGAGCCTTGGAAGTGGGGACGTTGAGAGAGGAAACTGCCCCTCATCTTTTGGCTTTCATTCTTAGCAATGCTCAATGAGAATTTGTCGCAGCAAATAAACACTAGCTTACGAAAAGGTAACTGGACAATCTTGTCCAAGTAAGACTTTAAAGAATAATCAAATAGCACATAGCATATGGTGAATACCTCCTAATGAGTTAAAGAGGGTCAGTGCAATATGTCAGCCTTCTCTTATGCTATGAAGATAAATTAGCTTGCTATGCAGCCTTTTTTACCTAACGATGCAGCTCCAGGTGTTAGTGGCCTTGGTTCATTTCTTAATTATAAAGCTGACTAGACTACAACACCTGTTTTGTATGTTCAGGTTGTATAGCCCGTAAGAAGTTCAGCTGATACACCTTTGATTCTTTTAATTTTAAACTTTTTAATTTGTAACTAGAGGTATGTATACTTTGGGGAAATTTGTCTCTGAAATTGAATGACTAGGATTAGATTTCCAGAAAGCTGTTTCTAGACTACCTTAAATCGGATGGGTAGTATAGGTAAACTGTCAAAAATACACTGTATTAGCTAAATGAGAACAGTTATTAAGCTTTTTTCATAAACCACTGGTGCCTTTACTTAGTTCAGACTTGTATTTTTTTCTACTCCAATTCAAGCTCTTCACAGATGTGTCCTGACATCAGTTCCTTTGAAGAGTGTAAGGCATGAGAAGTACATGTAGTGGCAAAGGCATCTGACAGAATCTGCCAGTTGTCTTTAGTTCTTTTCCCTTTCTCAGAGGTCACTAGCTATTCAGTCAGACTGAGAGCCTTTCTCTGGAGATTTTACTTCTCCATGTTTTTAAAAAAGCTTCATTTAGGAATAGTCTACTGAAATCTGTAAGATTCAAAAATGCCAGTAACCTAAAAGTACAAAATTCTGCATCGTGCACTCTTTTCAGTGCAGGAAGTGCTGTCTTGAAGACTCACAAATCTGTATACAAATCACATATACCTCGTTGCACTTAAGCTTTGGGGGCAGCGTTAGCTTGGTGACTATGTGATAGAACAGGAGACATTGTGCGAATAGTGCCTAGGTAATTAGGAGTGGTTGTATGGCATACACCTTAACAAGGTGGAATTATTTTTGTTGTTCTTTTAATATTTAAAAGCAAAAGCTGGTAGGGCATGTTTTTCAGGCTTCAGGATGTATTTTAAGGTCTTGTATGCTTAGGTTGCCCCTGCTCTCCAGAGTTGCTGTCTTCTGGCAGGTAACATACACCAGCAAAAGATTCTAGCTGGGCTACCTTTTGCTTTCATTACAGCTTCAATATTGAGGGTGTAGGGGTCTGTTTCCTTAAGCTACTGCTAGGAATGTTCTCATTTTGACTCCTAAATGCAGCAGCTCCAAGGAATCCATTTCATTTTTACTGCTTTATTGCAGTTGTGTGCTTATACTGAGAAACAGATGGAAAACCTGGGTTTGTTTCTTCTCTCACGCTATTTCCTGTTGTAACTGTTTCCATTTAAAAGAAAAAAAGTATTCCTGGAAATTGGGAATAATCCTTCTGCGTGGGGATACTGTATAGCTTTCTGGTGTGATACTGGCTGATTTCAGTGCAACTCTGGAAAGACTTCCATGGGCTTCTGTAATTTACCGGGTCTTGCCTTTGGGATGGTGTCCACATTGCTGTTTTTGAGCTTCCATTTGCAAAGTATTGCAGGACAAGAGTTTCTTTAATACTTCTACAATATATAAATGAAGTAACTTTTTCCCATATCTTCAAATTCCCTTGAGTGTATCAACAATATCTATCTCTGTTTATGGCATCCCAAACTGTATGCTAGTAGTTGTGGGTTTTTTCTGTAAGTAATAAGTAGTACAGCAGCATAAGCTTTCCTCAAGTTCAAGAGAAAGCAGCTCTTTCTTCACAGTTTGAACAATGTAACACACTGTGTTAACTGGTAATTCAAATGAATACATTTTCCTTTTTTATTCTGTATGACATACAGTCTAATCAATTCCTGTCAAAGGTATTTGCAGACTTAGTATTTATTCTGTGGGGTTTTCTTCCATTTCTTCACACAGGACTTTCTTCCTTTTTGGTCAAGCTATGTATTTTTCTGGTCATTTAATAGGAAGTGTTCAAAATCTGTCTTCAAGTTTGAGCATTTACCTCTCCTGTTTATTTGTTGGTTTCTCTGGGGGTCTTTTTTTAATAGTAACATAAAGCTATCTATAGACCAGGCCAGATCCTCAAAAGTACTTGGTTCAGTGTTTTTTCTTCTGTGGCTAACTTGTACAGTTGTCACTTGGTCTTAAGTTGTTTTAACTTTGAATTTTGCTATAACTGGTGGTAATGCTGCTGTAAATGATCTTTAATAGGAGAGATTCATGTTACTAACTTCTTGATAAAAGCTGAATAAAAATTTGCTTTGTGCAGCTGAATAATACAAAAACCTGATCTGAAGATCACTATCATTATTTTTAATGCTATGAAAATAATCAGCGAACAGAGCTGAATGCCATTCTTTTCCATTTGCAGTTCTTCTGCTTATTTATGTGCTCATGTAGAGCAGATCCCACAAGAGAGGTACATGCAGTAAACAAGGTGTAGCTAGAGTATTATGGTCATCATTGAAAATACTGAGCAGTAGGAACTGTTACTGAAGGCTCCCATTTGGTGTTTTGGTATGTACTTGCATTGTGAATTCAGTTTGTTCATGTCCAAAGGCCATGCTTGTGTGTCTGGCAATATTTTGTAAGCATGACTGTTGGTATGCCAAGGATCTTATTAACCTGATTAATGAAAATGCACACCAAGCAGTTACTAAAAATGCATAAGGTTAGAAGGTAGAAGTAATGCACAGAGTGCACTTCCATGCAGATGTGGTGCCCAAAATAACCTGCTACTGTCAAGTCTCTCTCCAAAATGTGGCACGCAGGTTCCTGTTGCTGTGCTTCGCTAATGGGAGGTGTTTCCACTTGGCAGTCTCAGCATCCTAAAACAAATTTGTACTGCTAATCACCTGGCAGTTGAAACTATCCTTTGGAGTAAAAATCAAACTGTACTTTGCAGTTGAAAATACAAACATTTGCAGTGTAAGTCCACCAGTATTTCCTTTAGAACAGGCAAGTGGTTGTTTTTGATATGTGTCCTTTTCAAAGCAATACTTGTCATTGCATTTTGAGAGGTCAAGTTGCTGTGTGGTGGAATGTCCTTGTGACATCTTATGATCATAGAAAGTTGGATCTGAAAGGAGTCTTGCTGACCCAAGGCGTGACCAACTATAACTGTGCTGCTTCTCATACCTGTCTTGTCGATTATCAGTAGAGGACATGAAAGATTTCAGTGTCCCTTGATGGTCTTTCCAATACCCAGTGCTTTCAAAATAGGAACTACTGTGTTTTGGTTTTTTTGATCCTGAGTGTCTTGCTTTAACATCATGGATATGCAAAATTTTCTTTTCCTAGTGTTATGTTTCCTCTTGAGCATCTCTTTAAGGGCTTCCTGTGTAGGTCACATATTTTAGACCTCATATGTGTCTTGCAGCTCTATTCTGAACTTTCTGCCTGTTCCCACATAGAAGACATGACTCAGTTGAGATTGTGTTCCACCCTACCAGCAATGACATCCGTTCCAAATAAAGCTGTTGATGGGTCTCCTTATAGTACCCTGTTGCAGAAGGGACAAATGCTGTTGATTTAAAGTTCAGTTTGACCACATTACCTGCAATACTCTTGCACGGTTTGGGGGGTTGGGGTCCCTCCTTAAGACCTTCTGCCTTGCTAGTGGTTATTTCTGTGTTTGGGTGGCTGATACTTTTGCCTGAGCAGAAGTATTCCTGCTATTCCTTCCTAGTGGTGGTGGTTTTGGTTGTTTTCAAATCACTTACTTGGTCTCTTTTAGTATCTCATACCACTGGTCAGTCCTTCATTATTCTTGAACACTTGCACTATTGCCCTTTTCTTTCGCAAGCTTTGTGCCATAGAAAATGCAGAAAATATATTATGTATTACACTGCAGGTAACTGCACAGAGCTGGCCTCAAAGCTCCACTAAAATACTTGATTTTTCTTTTGCAAATAGAAAGATTGATAGCTACTTCTCAAATACTTGTTGCAGCTAGTTCTGTATCTTTCCACAGCTCTCACCAAGGACTCAAATGGTGTCTCCCTAACATGGTGAAAACTTAAGGGGAGAGGAGGACAAAAGGCTTCCTAAAGTTCAGATATGCAATTTACTGATTCTGTCTTGAGGTAGTGGCTTAGAAAGAAATTAAACCAATTTAAGAGCCCCTTTTTCTTGGTTTACTTTCTCTTTTTTTCTTCCTCTGGGTGCTTGCAACTAGTCTTGGTTTTCCAACACCTATTCATAAAACTAAAGCTTCAGATAATTGATTTAAAATTATCTGGCTTCTTACTCTTGAGGACAACAAATTGAAATGTTTGTGGTAAAGTGGTTCTTAACGCTTTTACACATGGAACAGTGTCTGTTGGTGTTTTTCTGGAAGTAGCTGCGTCTTTCAACAATATCCTGTTTGGTTAGCTCAGTAAACAGGTTAATTTTTTTTTTAACAGTCCTTCTGATAAAGTTTCAGATCTTCTTAATCAGTATGGAACTACAAACTGCTTACCAGTCTTCTAAATTTTAACTTCTGGTTGATATAGCTGTAATTTTCAAAATAACAGGGCATGAAGGCATGTCAGAGGGTAGGCATATAGTACAGGCTTGCATATTTTTATTTACTTTTTCTGTGAAGCGCACTTAAAACTGGTCATCCTAGAACCAAAATTAAGGGCTGTTTTATACTTCAGTTCTGTCTTATATAATCTTGTCTTAAGAATACAGGCATAAATCCTCGGACCTCTGTCTTTACAGTTAAAAAATATGCAAGGTAGCCTCTACCATACTCCATATGTTTTCCTTGAACATACCATCACTATTGCAGTTCGTGACAAATTAAAACTGGACTAGGATTAAGCTGGTTTTGCCAGGTCATAAATTCTGTCTCCTTGTGTGCTGCTACAGCTGACAAAAGAAATCATAGAGTCATAGAATAGTGTGTGTTAGAAGGGACCTTAAAGATCATCTAACCCCCCTGTCATGGGCAGGAACACCTTCCACTAGACCAGGTTGCTCAGAGCCCTGTCCATCCTGGCCTTGGATGCTTCCAGGGGTGGTGGGGCATCCACAATGTCTCTGGGCAACCTGTGCCAGTGTTTCATGACCCTCATAGTGAAGAATTTCTTCCTTATAGCTAACCTAAATCTACCCTCTTTCAGTTTAAAAGCCTTACCCCTTGTCTTATCACTACATGCCCTTGTAAGAAGTCCCTCTCCAGCTTTCTTGTAGGCCTCCTTCAGGTATTGGAAGGCTGCTATAAAAAGTCCCCCTGGAGCCTTCTCTTCTCCAGACTGAACAACCCCAGTTCTCTCAGGCTGTCAAAGAAGCATCTTGTGAAATTAACAAAGGCAATGTTATAGTAGTGTAGAAGATCCCATGGTGTGTCTTTTCAACTGAAAGCTGCACTGAAACATGAATCCCCTCTCATATTGTCATCCTGCAGTACGAAACAATAAAACCATGCGATTGGGGTGTTTTAAAACTGCTCGATATGCTTTTTTTACTATGGCTGTATTTGCTAGGAGTAAATTGACTGTTAAAATAAACAGTAGGGTTGAGAATATGCCAGATCAAAAGACAGACTGGTTTTGTCTGGGATCTGAAGTGCTTGAAGTTACAATGATACCAGATAAGTATATTCTGGTATCCAGAACTGGATACCAGAACTTATACAGGAGGCTGGAGACAGTATTTGTTCATTTGACTAATTTCAAATGGGTCATAAGTTTATTTTCCTATTTACATTAATGTAAAACTCACACATCAAGTTACTGTGGGGACTAAGGGAAATGGAGGCTAGTAATTTGGTGAGAAACACTCCAAATGTTTTGTTTAGTATCCTTACTTTAGAGATTAGTGTTCTTGTTCATCCTGGCATGTTGCAAGCTAATGGTTTTTACTTTACAACTATAAACCTTTAGAGTTGCTGAAGGAGAGCCAATGGAAGAAGTAGTTCAAGAAATGACGTTAGATGAGTGGAAAAATCTTCAGCAACAGAATCGACCAAAGCCTGAATTCAACATCCGGAAGCCAGAATCCACTGTTCCTTCCAAAGCAGTGGTGATTCACAAGTCAAAATATAGCGATGATGTAAGCATTGCCTCAGGAATTCTGTAACGTCTGCTTTATGCCCAGGGTTAGGAAACTGTCTCTGTTCTCTTTCTTCTAGCTTTAGTATAATCTGAACACACTAGAAATCAGTATCTAAGCTTTGTTACTGTAATCACATATGTGCTTCAAAACTTGCTTTAAACTTACCATCTGTTCACTTTCTTCTATCAGATCACCCCTATTTTATATGCAAATACATAATATATCAACTTGTTCTACCTTATAGTTCTGTCTTAACAATATATAACAGTATAAAACCTGTGTCCTTGCTGCCACCTATGTAGATCTCTGGTAATGCTGCTGGAGGAGCTTTGTTTACTAAACTCTTCTTACGCTAACTTTGAATCCTGTTTAGCTTACTTGCCAGCATACACTTGCATGTATATATTAAACTCGGGTTTTGGCATCTGTTAGTCTGGATGCTAAGTGTCCTATTTCTCATCTGTTCTGGATCCCAGCTTTCACTATGCACCTGAAATGTATGCTTATTTTTTTCCCCAGTTTTAGGGATCTGCTTCTTACAAGTAACTCTGGAGATCTTGTTCTATAACAATGTGCTTCCCTCCAGCTTTCCATAACTTTTATTCTGCTATATTACTGGGATTGACATTGCAGGGAGAATGTCTAGTTTATTGATATGATTGGGGAGACAAGGGAGGCTTCTTTCACAGGTTCTTGCCTACTGAGATTTCAGATTTTGAGGGGTCACAGAAGTATGTGCATATACCTGTAGTCTAGCATAATGGGATTTTGATCTTTAAGGTCTGCATGAATGTATGAATACGTATATTATCCTTTGTTTAGTTACAATATTAACCCCTTGCAGCTTTTTAAGCCTTAATCACTGTAGTTCATTGTGCACTTCCAGGGACAGACACAAATACTGAAGAGGCCTGCATCCTTTTTAGCATGGCTGTTGGTGGTCACAGTTGCCATTATCCCCTCTTACTACTCTGAGGGAGATGGTGGTCAGGGTGGGGAGAGTATCATTCACAAGCTCTGAAAGGATATGCAAGTGTGTGAAGCATGCATGCAAGTTTCTGGTCTTTTTGCCTGTAAAGTTTCTTGACTAGCAGTATCAAGGGACCCTGTCAAAATGAACAAAGAATAGGAGGCACAGGAACTGCATAACATGGACAAGTCAAATCCCTGTATTAGACATTGAACAAAATAAGTAATTCATCACTGTGTGAGATGAGTCTATGTATATGTTATCATTACTATAGTGCACGTTAATATTATGATGGGAAATAGTCTTACATCCACTAGCTACTAGGAATATGCAGAGTTAAAACAACACTAATCTCATAGGTGCAGAGAAGACCAATAGATTGGTTAGTAGCCAAATACTGTGCTTTACTATGGCCTTTTAACCATTACTTGAAGACAATTGTAGGAGTAAGTAGCTTAAGCCTGATTCTCTAGTCCCTTATAAAACCTTGTAGATGATATTTCTGGAAAATCTCTTCAGTGTTACAGAGCTGGTACAGAAGATCTTGTTGCCAGGAATCTCTGAGCTAACAAAGAACTATCCCAGGCATCTGGGAAGCTACAATTGCCTTGCCTCTGTTAAAACCCTGTGCAAGTTAAGGCCTGTCTTCTATTCTGGATGTCATCTTGATTTATCTGCTGCTTAGTCTGTAATACAAGTATGTGTGTGTGTATATGTATCAGGGAAGGGAAAAGGTTGTACATGGAAGTTACAGGCTTTAACCAGATCTTCTTTTTAGTTGCAGAAAGACTTTGAAGATGATTCTCATGTTTTTCGAAGACCAGTGAATGACATAACATCTAGGCTGGATATTAATTTTGGGAGTCTTCCTCGCCCTGGCCGTGGATCAAGAGGAGGACGAGGTGGTCGTGGTCGTGGCAGACGATCTGAGGAGACAGGACCTCGACCAGGAGTGGTAGTAACGGTTTCTACATTTTTTGTTTGCTTGGAGATTTTCTTTGGTGGTTGGGGGTGTGTGTGTCCTGCCCTCTTTTTTGTGCAGAATTACTGATTTTTGTAGTGACAGAATTATTTCTAATTCCTGCCTCATAGTATGTTAGCCTGGTTATTTTCAGTTCCTGAGCCATATCGTGTTACTGAAAATTAAATACCAGTTGAGGCTCACAACTCTGAACACATACATTTCAAAAGTTTCTATTTACTAGCTGCTGTAATGGTAACTTATGGAAAGCATGCAACGAAGACTTATTTCTGCAATGAGTTTTATATAAATTGGGAAGTAATTAAAATGATTAAAGGCTTGTATCCCTTACAAAAAAATTTTAGTAGAGTACAGTAGTAGTACTTTGATTACTGAGAGTGAGATCAGTAAATCTGGGATCCTACAGATTAAGATAGCATCCTACAGAATGATAGAAGCGTTCAGTATAACCATTACAAAAAAACTTCCACTGACCTTTTTCTCTTAAAAAAACAAAAACAAAAAACCAAAAAACCCAACCCCAAATGCACAAACATTTGCATGCTGAAAAACATGTCTACATACTAACTGAAGGTCTCAATTTACTTCTATCTAGTACAAGTAGAATACTTTAAGGTTGGGAACTTACAGAATCATACAGAAGTGATTTGATGCATTTGTTTCATCTGAATGAAAAAGGCTTTTTATAATAACAGAGCATGGAATTTAAAACTACAATATGTGCAGTAGCCTTAGACTGTAAGAAGATAATGCTGCTCCTAAAAACAGACAGTATTTTCTGTGAGATTGCTTTATTTTTTTTCTTCATTTCACTGCTGCAGAACTTGTTATCTTCTGGTCCTCCCCAGGCAGTAGATCAGCATTATAAATACATTCACACTGAAGGAATTGTAGTCGCCATAGCTTCTGAGATAGATGCTGAGCATTTCTGTGATAGCAATGGGTACAAAACATTTAATGTGAATAATGTGCTCTTTTCAGGGTACAATAAATGTACGTAGCTGTCAGATGCTTTTGAGAAGCATTCACTTTTATAAAGCTTCCTTTCTTATTTTATAGGTGCCGCTTGTTGCTCCAAATCCTGATGATCCTGAAGATTTTCCAGCTTTAGCTTGAAGAGCGATCATGAATGGGGATATATCAAAGTAGCTGTGAAGAGACCAGTTTTATGCTGGTGCGGATAAAGCAAATCTGTTTCTACTGGAAAAGTTATTTGAGTGTTTGGTGTGGAATCACTGCAGCCCTCTGCTAATGGGGTTGGGTTCTGAAGATAGCAGTGGGCTGGGATCTTGTCACAGGTTCTGGTGTCTGCCTTCATTTGTGGAAACTGTCTGAAGGCTTACAGTACTTCACTACAAGGGTTCAAATGAAGTTCAAGAGTACAGTGTTTAAAAATATGTATATAGAGATTATATAAAGTTCTCCATGCCACCATGGTGAAATATAAATTGTACAACATGATCTGCAACTGCAACTCTATTTCACTGTACATTTAAAAGTTGCTTTCCATGTTTCTTTGAAGGGTTTATTTCACACAATCACAAGTTGTAGTTTTTCAGAATTTGGCAAATAAAAGAAAGTGGTCATTGCTTTGGGTTTGAGGTATTATTTTCACAAGTTAGAGTAGCAGATTGATGTTTTTGCTATTTGGACGTAGTTTAAAAAACCCAAAAACCACCAAACCCCAGACGTAAATGGCAGACCTTACTTACCCAAAACAGTGCACATCTCTCACAGAAGTGATCTTTAAAATTAAGGCAGCACAGATGCTTTTAATTGATAGCTAACTGTAAATCTTGCTTCCATAACAAGATATAATCTGCAACTACTTTGAAGATTTTGAAGGTGAATTAAAGTTAGATCTTTGAGGTAAAGACAGAACTAAACTGGAAGCTTTTAGTTTTAGCAGGAGCAACTACAAACTAAAATATTTCATGCCTTACCAAGGAGTTTGTGTGGCATTGGGGGTAAAGGGGGGTGTCCTGTCCTTGCAGCTTTTATGTACTCTCTCGCTTGAGCCAGATACCCTAACTTGTTCCCTGTCAAAGAGGACACTCAGAGCCCAGGGATCTGAGAGAAACAAGGAAATGGTGCCGGAAGTGATGAGGGAAAGAAATGAGAGGACAGCCACACTGGACACTTTGGAAGTAGCTGTCAGCCTCAAAGGAGTCGTCAAATGCCTGCTCAACTTGAACTCATTCTTTCAATTTACTGGGAAAGCAGATGAATTCAACCTTTGTCTTTTTTCCTGTTCTCTGCCTCACTTTCTTTTGTACCACTTCTAAGCAGTTTCCTTTGAGAGCAAATAGTGGATGAGACTTGAAGAAAAAATTGTCTTGCTTTGGAATAAGTTCTAAGAGTGTTCAGAAACTTAAAGTAACTCTTATCTCAGTGGTATGGCTTTACGGAAGTAGGATATAATCATCCTAGAAAGACTACTGACTCTTTCTGTATGTTCCAAACAGACGGTCTGCAAGGCAGTGCTGCCCAGAGAACTTTTCTTACATTGTTAAATTACTTATAAGACCATTTGCCATAACATGATTTTTGGACTCCACAAGGAGGTTGTTTTAGTGGCATAGAGATACCCTTGACAACCTGTATTAGAAAGGATGTACAAAAGCAAACAAGTGTTGGTGCTAGTGAAACTCATGCTGCTGCTTTTTAAGTGAACTGGATGAAATAACATAAATTACTCTTTCACCTTGTAAGAGTAAGCTACTACTTCAAATCACTGCTGCTGCTCTTTTAGTAGGTGTTTGGGTATTTCTGCCAAAAATAGCAATTTCATGATTGTGGAACAGAAGTGATTTTTGTCTATGGGAGTCTTGGAATTTTTTTTTTTGCTTGTTCTTCCCTTGCTCTTCCCCTTATCCCATCAAACAGGGAAGAATGTGGCTGAAATTTTATTTGTTCTTGCTTGCAATGATGAGTGTATGTATAGTTGTGGAGAGCTCCTTTGCAAGGCTCACCTCTATTTTGCATCATGTTTGGAAGATCTTTTACTAACACCTCTTTTCTGCTAAGCAAAGCAGTGAAATCCTTAAGAGCAACCCTTCCTTTTTCTACTAAAAGTTTGAAGCCTTGTTATGCTACTGGGCTGAGCCTGGTGTAACGCAGTTGGTTCAGTTCTGACTTCTCTGGGAAGGCTGAAAGGATTGGCTTTATTTTTTTTAGTCTGATTC